ATGTTCTCCAAATATTCCCTTTCAGAGTCAAACGTGAGTGCTGGGCGTTTCCGCAGGATGTTGCGCGCTGTTCGGCGCGCGCGTGCACCTTGGTCAGCATGGGCAGCAGCGCCCATGACATTGTACTGCACCACCATGTATCGGTCAGATCCATCGTCAATCCGCGGATGATATGCTGCATTGATCTTCGTGCGGTTAGAAGTGCGCATCTTATCCCAGAACTCTTTGCGTTCCGGTGGCGCCTCCAGCGCAGGGGCAGGTTGCCCTGCCGAACTCTGAGCGGGTTGCCCCGCAGAGCTCTAAGCAGGTTGCCCCGCAGAACGTGGGGCAGCCATTGGCGCGGCAGGCGCTGCTGCGCTCGCTGCCGACGCGGTAGCGCCAACAGATCCTCTGGGCGTCCTTGGAGTTCCTTGCGGGGTACTGATATCGAAGTCCGGGTGCTTCTTCTCCTTGATGTTGTAGGGCTCGGCAATCTTATCCCTGGGCACTGCTCCTGGCACCTGTGGCGTGGTAGCAAGGAGCTTCTCAGTGCGTCGCGTGGGGGAAGCACCCCTTGATCCCGCCCTGTGTGTCCGACCTGGTGCAGGGCCGCGACGTGGCGCATGTTCTTTTGGAGTAGGCGCGCTGGTGCCCTGACATCTAGCTGCTGCGGCGGCCGCTGCTGGTCCTCTGGAATGTTGTCGATCAGCAGGTTGCCCCGCATGTCGCTGCTGCCTGCTGCCCCCAGGGTTGGGATCATCGGGCCCCCCCCCCTCGTCTTTTCCTTGAGCTTAAGATGATCAGGGCCAAGAGATTGGCTGGGTGAATCAGAAGACGAAGGAAGATCGATCGTCACTGGCTTCGGCTTGGGAGTTGCCTTTGCCGTAGCTCCTGCCGGCGTCCCAGGTACATTTCGCATGGGACCTCGGTCAGGATTCAGATCGATACCGCCTGGCTTCCTGAGGGCCATATTCTTAATAGGTAACTTGTGTCTGTGCAACTAAGTACTTACCGGCGTTCCGTCTTTCGACTATGCGTGTCTTCATCCTGCCAATAGACTGAGCACGGTAAACAATCTGCCTCCCAGGAGATAGATCCATATCTCTTGCGACAGCGTCCTCAGGGTCGATCGGAGTATCCGCCTCGCACGTAACGTCCGCGATGCCCGAGTCGCCTGGCTCGCCGCCGTCAGGGGCAGCGTCCGCAGGGCCCACTTATTCAGCAACCTCATCATCTTCATCTTCGCCAGCTTATTGTTGGTTTTCTTCTTCTGATGCATGATCAGCAGGTTTCCCCGCATGCCACTCGCGATTGAACTGCGCCAGAGGGTGAGTAGATATCGAGTTCTGCCAAATGGCTTCTGACTGAGCTATCTCTCCACGAGTGGCGGGGTCGTAAAAGTTTTTCCGTCAGCTGCTCAAAATACGGCGTAGTGTTGGGGTCAGCGCAGCGACCCCGACCATCTCCATGAGACAAAACCCACGGTGCTCCTTGGAAATTCGGGCTTCTTGATGGGCGCCCCATGGGCCAGCCGAGCCTGTGATCAGCATAACTGGGGCATGTACAGCAAACGCCTCTGTAGAGCTCCCGATCCTCGATGATGGCCCTTTTGAGATCGCGCTTGACCATCTTTTCCTGCGAATTGGTTTGCCCCGCCTTTCAATGAGTGATATTGCCTGCGTCATCTCGTTTGCACTGACGAAATACCAGCGCCGGATTTAATGCTCAGTCCAACCGCTTTTCCAACCAGTATTCAACTTGGTTTGCGGGTACGCACTGGCGAGCCAATCCAGCTTCAGCGTTGCCTTTCAAGCGCTGTACTTCACCTTCTGGATATTCTCCTCCTCGACGTTGGTCATCTTAAGGCGGGTTTCCCCGCAGCCGGCCTTTCCTTGGGGGGGGGGGGGGGGGGCGGGCTCGCGCGCGATCTGGCGAGGGGCTGGGCTCGACCGCGACGTGCCGGGCGGCCATCGCCTCCCTTTCCGTCGCCCTCGTCCATTGGGGGGAGACTTGGATCATCATGATATCTCTTCCTTATCAAGGGTAGGCGGCCTGGCGATCACCCCGGGCTGCTGGCGGACCGATCTGACGCAACAAAAGTATACTGAAATTCTCCATTATGCCCAAGCTCACATTGAATGCGCTCAGACAGATCACCAACGTCGCGCGGGTTTCCCCGAAGTGGATCATCATCGATCATTTCCGCATTTGTCGGATTTCCAATCGCCCGAGGATAAAGCATTGCGTGTGTTTCCTCATCTGTTGCAGGAATCTGTAGAATCTGAGTCCGCGGGAGCCCCCGCCATGCCAAAATCGCCTTCGACGGGCGCGTGGCAGTTCTCGACAAACTCAATGTCTGCAGGTTGCCCCGCGGTGGGTACACCCGGCCACTCTGCCAAATCGATATCGTCGTGGCCAGCGAACGCCTCCTCGAACAGCTCGTCGGCGTAGTTCTCGAGGGTCACGCTGGCACTTAGATACCTGGCAGCCATCAAATGAACAATTGTGGCTGAGCCGTCGGCAGGGTCGGCTAAAAGCGGTTCCAATCAACATGCTGCATGTCGGAGTCCGTTTGAAGCAGATGTATTGACGGACCCCTTCCTCTTCCATCACCTTGGGGGCACTCGCGTCGGAAATGTTGTGCACTGTGACATATGTCGCACTCCATAGTGTTACCTCTGGCATCCTTTGGATTTCCTTGTCGTCCCTTACCTTTGCCTGATGTATGCCTGCGGTTCCTGCCAGTGCCTAAAAACATTTCCTCATGCTGAGGTCCAGTAAGAGACGCTAAGAATGCTAGTGTGCCTCTACCATGTAGTCGCCGACGCTTACCTTTGCCTTTACTTCGACATTGCCTTTTCCTTTAAGTGACCGTCGTACAAAACGCCTTACACTTCGGACTGGTTTCTTCATGCACCTCCGCCAACGACGCTTGTTTTTGATCACCCAAAATAACCATTGAGCTAGCTGCTCTTCAGTAAGGTATGTAGGCATATCAGAGTAATCCAAGGCGGTAGCATCATCATCGGAAGACGTATCCGCATCGGTGCCGGAGTCGAAGTCGCATTCGGCGGGTTGCCCCGCTGAGCCCATTCGGGTCATAGCTTGTATAGGGGAAGCCGAGTCGAGCGGCTCCCCAGATCTGGCCCAGGGGTCTTGCGACCCCGGAGCCGCTCCACCATTCTGAACCAACAGTGCAGTGGTCTCAGTTGGCTGTGTATCGTCGTTCCAGACGTTGTTGGCAGGTTGCTCTGCGTTGGCCTCTGTGTGGAAAGTCTCGGTTCGGTGACCGTGGCTAAAGATACCGCCAACATTGTCAGGGGTCCTCTCAGCTATATGAGCAGATGACCTCATACGTTCAAGTAGAGCGTCAATTTGTGGTTGGTCCCTCGGCACGTGGTGGTTCAAAGGCTGCAAGAATTGCTGTGCACGCGACGTCCCCACTCCAAGAGCTCTGAATAGAATTGCTGATATTATTTGGAAGCTGGGGGATGTTGAAGCCGACGGTTTCAGCTTCGTAGCGGGCTATTTCGAACCGTGCCAACGTATGGTCGATACGTTCACCCGCATGGACTCGAAAGTCAATGAGAACCGTGCCAGAGTTGAGCTGGCGTTCCTCTTCTAGGTCCTCGAATTTCGTACTAAAAAGAAGCATAGTGTAGGTGGTGCCGTCAGTGTGGCGACCGCCTATATTGACGCCAAAGTTGATGACTGCTGGAGGGACTCTCATGGCTATGGTCCGGGCGAGACCTCCCAACCCTCGCTACAATGCAGCGGCTTGCTGGGAGGGCGTCATGTTGCCTGTGGCCACTTTGATCCAGGCATGTACTTCGCGGGCAAACTCGCGAAATGGTACTTGACCGGCAGAGTCCCAATGGGGGCCAGTAGTTCTAGTGTCGTCTCCACCCCGCATATGTCCTACCGCACACCCAATAGCGACCCATATGAGCCCAAAGATAGTAACCCCAATCCAGTGGCCTCGTAGGTCGTAGTCGGGTGTAGTCGGTGGGGACGTATGTTTTGTCGTCGTAAGTCTGCGTGGGGTCGGAGGCGGCAGTATATCGTATCGCATGTTTCCATGCATTATATCATCAAAAAATTTCCAAATGGAGTAGGTGGGTGGACTTCAGGAGTGTAATAGCGCAGGGATGTAGGATGTGAGTAAGACGCCTCCGCTTGGGCAGAGGTATCGCTGCAAGTTTCCTTGCGGTACTGCGTAGTTATATACATTCCTCCGCGCATCCCACTGCACCCTGATGTTCCACCATATCCGTAGTCCACCAGATAGTGCCGTGGATGGTGAGGAGTAGAGCTAGAGCTGACCACCATAGGCCAGCGCCGCTACCAAGTTTGAAAGGGGCTGGAAGGCCCAGCCAACAGCTTCGCCTCAGGCGAAGCCAAGCTCCCGCTCAGTTGTACCGTAGTAGCGATAGTTCCAGTATGAGAGGAGATGCCATCTTTCAAGCAATAGGAAAATCCTTTTGGTCTCGATAGCGATTGTGTGCCCCGCGGTGAGGCACAGAAAAATTCGGGCGGCCGGCCGCTTGAGCCGACGCGGCCGCGGGCGCACGCTCGCTTCCACTCCTTACGTCCCTCAGCTCGCTTTAGAGTCCCATCGGACCCCCCCCCCCGCACCGGACAGACAAACAAGCGCTCCCCTGCCCTCCCCCGCCCGCACCCGCGAATCACTCTCACAATGATAACGGAGTCTAAGGGTGATGCGATCCACAACTTGATATGTTCCACTCTACAGACGCTGCCCAACAATACTGTAATCCGCCACATCGCGCCGACTGATCATCCTGACCGAAATCGCACACTCACACACACCACAAACTGCCATTCCTGCTGCGCTTAAGACTTAAGATCCCGAGTAGCAAGTACCACCGAACACGAATGTTTCGCAAGAGTCTGCATGTATCCTCTATATTACCGTAACCTTTGGGCGCAGCTGGTGGAAAATGGCGGAATACTCACAATTTCGAGACGGACAACACGCCTGGCTGGTTCCCCCGCGAAGCGGTGTGAATCTTTCCATGGAGCAGCCTGGTTCTCGCCCTCTTCCCAGTGAGGACCAGCAGCTCGACAGCAGGCACGTTCAGCTCCCAATGGCCCACAAAGCGGCTGAGCGCGAAAATGTTCGATTCTTGCTCCACCGCCCCCAGGAATGCTGAACTTGACTGTCGCTGCAAGGTGCGCGGAGGAGCTGACAATCTCGTGGCGCTCGTCGCCGGGTCCGGGTCATCCTCGAGATCGCGCCCAACCTCGGGATCGAGATCGCCTGCCGCCGCCTCCTGCCCGTAGGTCGTCCGACACAGGCGCTGCATCGACTGACGCAGGGCACTTTGCAAAGGCTGGTAAGACCCAACCTGCGACGCTGACAATAATCTAGAAGAGCCACGACGGGATGCTGAGGGTGGTGCCTTGTTGGAGGCGGCCGAGGGGGTCTGAAGTAGTGGCTGGACCCCGGAAATCCAGCCAGGAGCGAGGATGAGGCCAAATCCGTTCGAAATCGGTCATTCCCTCCTGGGTTCCATCTGGTGCAATTTTTCACCCTGGGTCCAGGGTTCACAGCCCTTGGGACTGAGAGCGGCCCCGGGAGACCCAAAAGGGCAAAAGATCTTCTTGACCCAGAACATCGAACCTGCCCGCTCTTCCTGCTGGCTGGCCGGATCCAGTGCTGGGCCACCTCGGACCCCAAGACGGCTCCAAGGTGCCTTGCTGATTGCCTGGCGGCGCTGCATCCAAATGTCCTCGAGGGGCAGGAGCAGCTGGAGCTCCTTCAGGGGCTCGACCCAAACGTCGGTGTTCGTTTCTCACTATGTATCAGTTGTCCCCCGTTTCGCACTCGTTCTGCCCCTGTTGCACAACGAAGTCGAAACGAATGGGGCCCACGAAATTGCCAAAACACCGTTTGGTGAGCGTTTTTCAATATTCGGCGTTTCAACATTGGGCGAAAGGAGTAGGGGGGGGTCTGGCTCCAGACCTCTGCTCAGTGCGACTGTTTGCAAGAGTGCGGCCTCTGGGGGAAACTCCACTTGCTTGAAACAGGCGCCAAAGACAGCCAAGATCCACTCCATGGGGGGGGAGGGGGGCAAGGGCCCGCGCCGATCGGCAAAACAAGGAATAAGACAACGATGGCCTGAGAAACAGGGGTGTTTCTACGAAGCCTTCCCCCTTTCCCCACCCGCCTGCACGGTTCCCACCGGGGCCGCAGGCGACCCGAAGAGGAGGAGGGGGAAGAACGGGAGGAGGAGGAGGAGGAGCAGGAGGAGGAGGAGGAGGAGGAGGAGGAGGAGGAGGAGGAGGAAGAGGAGGAGGAGGAGAGGAGGAGGGGAGGAGGAGGAGGAGGAGGAGGAGGAGGAGGAAGGAAGGGGGAGGAGGAGGAGGAGGAGGAAGGAGAGAGGAGGAGGAGGAGAGAGAGGAGGAGGAGGAGGAGGAGGAGGAGGGAGGAGGCGAGGATGAGCGAGGAGAGGAGGAGGTGGAGCGGGGAGGAGGCGGGAGGAGAGGAGGAGAGGAGAGGAGGAAGGAGGAGGAGGAGGAGGAGAGGAGGAGGAGGAGGAGGGGAGGAGGGGGAGGAGGCGGAGCGTAACTGGGGGGGACACGTCACTCCACACTACACCACGCAAGCGCTTGGACTGCGGTGTGCAGACCCCGTGATTCGCGGCATATCGTGTTCCACAAACTGGAAGATCATAAGGCCTGATAATTCGCTGCACAATGAGGAGCCTTCGGGGGGGCTCTCGAAATCTGGACGAGAAGGCTCAGCGGACCAGGACACTATAGACTGCGAGACCCTATGAGGCACAGAGGCGAACTCAGGATTACGGTGGCTCACCAACGGTGGATAGAAGGACTCCGGCTGCGGCGGACGAGGGGGGGAGGGCTCACCGAACAACCCTGAGGTGCGAGGAAAAGTCGTATTCGGGGGAGAGCAAGGGGGCTCGACAATGGAGGGAAGCGACAGAGGAGGGGAACAGGACAGAGACGGGGCAGATACGCGTGCAGAGGCAGGCTCACGATTTTCAGCGCACGACCGAGGCCTGCCTCCCGACGAAGACCAAGCCCTCCCCGACGCCGAGGAGCACACCCGCGAGGGAGACGAGGTAGCACTCTGTGAAGACGAGGAAGTCGAGGAAGACGAAGAGGCACTCCGAGAGGGCGACGAGGTCGAGCGCGAACTGACCACTTCTGCGGCTTCCCTCTGACCGCCAGGAGCCAGACCCACCTCCAGCACCCCATCCGTCTAATTCTCTGGCTCCGATGGGGACGACGAGAGCCGGCCCCGAGCATCTCGAGCCAGGCGGACCGTCTCGAACAGGGCGGAGCGACGGAGCAGCTGCCGATGGCGTCGCTGGAGCGGGAGACGGACGGCAAGCCTCGTGGCCTCGACCAGTTCGAGCGCCTGACCAGAGGAGGCGACGCCCTGGATCCGATGTGCGAGGAGTCGATAATGATGGTACTGGGCCACAACGAAGGCCAGAGCACCGCCCTCGAGCCCGAGGCAGAAGGTGGGTAGGCATGGCAGGCCCACGCGCGGGGCCAGAGACGCGAAGTGCATGTTCCTCGCGCGCCCCACGACGCAGTGCCCAATCGAGCCCCGCCCACGGGGACAGCCATGGATACATGGAGCACAGCACTGCATCCGATGATTGGTGATCCATCCGCCCAAGTGCGACTTGAGCGCGATCGTCGCCCAGGCCCGAGGGGCGTTCAAAAGGCACTGGCGAAGAGCACACTGATCGCGAAGCTCAAGCTGGAAGTGACGGCGTAGTCGGCGCACGATCAGCTCGCCGATGCGCTCGGGGAAGATGGCTAGGGTCAAGATGGCACGGCAAATGGACTGCCACATGATGCGCCCGAAAACCCGATGGTCGGCAGCAACACGACGAGCACGATCCGCAGCACGAGACAGACATGTGGGCAGTGGCGTGGCCCCGAATATTCCCAGGAGCACGGGCGAGGGCTCGCGCGCACCACAATCGAACAACGCTCGAGCGGCAACCCCTCCAGCTTCCAGATGACGGCCACCAGGAAATCCAGCAGCTGCCGACTCCAGCGCCGCCGCGAAAGGCAGGCGGGGCAGCCCAGAAGGGGGGCGCCATCAGCGGGGAGCACCGCGGATCCATCGTGCCGAAGTCCTGGATCTGCGCGCGCAGGAAGCGGAGGCCTTCCCGCCATGCGGGGCATGTCACCAATGCCGAACGCATCAACGCCGCAGCTGCCATAACATACATAGAGTCGAAACTCGGGCCGTTCCAGCTCGCCAGCGCGAAGCAGCCCGCCGCGCGGAGCATAGGGCATGGCGCCCGCAGGAGGCGCGCAACGAGCGCGCGCTGACTCTGAGCCTCACGCCATCCCAGCGGAACCAGCTGGGCCACGTAGGCGAGGACTGGGAGTGCCCGCGTCCGATAGAGCTCCTCCGTCACGCCGAGCGGCGCGCCCTGCCCGCTGATCTCCGTCGCGCGGAACGCGCGCTTTGCCGGGGGGGCGCGCCGCTGATCAGCGCGCGAAGCACCGGGGCCAACCTGGAAGCCCAAGTACGTAAACGATGAAGCGAAGGCGAAGTCGGCCCGGCTAGCATCGGCCGCCAGCAGCGCAGCGCGCAGGCGACAAATAGCCACGCGGTTGTTGGGGTCGCACAAAACGGCCACAATGCATTTCTTGTGTTTGAGTCGTAGATTGGCAAACTTACCCGCGAGCCGAAAGGCGCGGGAAAGTCTCGGGAAGGCACGAGGGTGGTGTGGCACAGCCCCAAGATCGCCAGCGCAGAAAAGAGAAATGCCCAGCATTTTCCCTTGGAGGACGAGGCTTCGCTCGATGTCCAGAACGAATGGGTTGGAAGCCACGACGTACAGAGAACCACCGAGGGGGCATCCCTGGAGCACACCCGACGACATGTAGCGCGGGAACGACAGGGACGATCCGCCGTAGTAGCAGGGGGAACACTACTGATACCATGCCTTGAGCGCCGCTGTGACAGGCGGGGGGAGGCGAAGCTTCTCAACGGCAAGCTGCAGCCAACTTTGACGAACCGATGGGAAGGCCTGCTCGAAATCGACGGCCGTCAACGCAGGTGAGGCCCGCCATGAACCTTGCGTCCGAACACTAGCAACCCGAGAGTGAACATCCAGATCCACGACGTTGTTCAGGAAGGTCCGATGGCGGATAAAACGATTTTGCGAGGAAGCCCCAATCGCACCAATAACAGGGTGTAGACAGTGGTTGATCACCCCGCAGATCGTCTTGTTAGCCGTGTTCTTCAAACCTAACGGACGGGTCTCAGAAGCTGCCTTTTGGAGGCCCTGCAGATCGTCCTCATGGGGGCCCGACTCGAGAGGCTCGGGGATGAACGCCGCTAGCATGGCCGAGAAGGAGGAGTCGATCCAGTTGCCCTGAATGATCCACTGGGGAACCTCGAAGGGCACCGAATGACCAAGCCCAGTGCGCCAGGCCGCATAGTGGAGGCCATCAGGATCAGGGGGCGCCCAAGAAGCCTTAGCCAGGAGGCGCTCCACGTCGCGCAGCTCGGGAGGCCTCATGTCGGTGAAATCCTGGTTTCTCGTGAACCTCTCGAGGAAACGTTGAGCACCAATGGGGGCCCGACGGGGGCGACCAAAGATGGGGGCCCAGTAGGGCGAGAGGGCACGGGCAATCTCCTCATCGCCCGTCGCAAGGAGCGCGGCACCAGCTTCACCTGAAGAAGACGCAGCAGATGGAACTTGGGGTTGAACACCGTGGGGCCCGACGCGGGCCTGCTCGACAACCGCGGCCGCCAGAAACATTCCCCTCCTCCTCAGTGGGCGCCAGAGTTGGGATGAGCGCGTCGGCGCTCGCTTTTGGCAAAGAGGGCACCGACGACGACAAGGGGCTGCTTACTCCGCTGCTGCTCCTTCTAGTGCCCGACGACGGGAAGTGGCCTCCTGACGTTGAAGATCGCCGTGGCGAGCCTGGAAAGCACTGGGGTCCGAGAGAACCGCGCGATGCCCCTGGATGGACACGATCTCCCGAGTCCACTGGAACTGGAACGCGATCACCCTGACAAGCTCACTGTCTTGGCGCCGAACACAGCGTGCAATACTGCGACAGATCATCGCACGAGATGAAGTGGAAGTGGGAGCGGAGCGGAGCAATGCCACGAACAAGCACCCCCGCTGCCTGACGCACGCGAATGGCCATGAGGAGCGTGCGCCGGGGGTCGGATCTCAACGAAGGGAAATCAATCAGCCTTTCCAATTCAGAGACCATCATAGGGCACAGCCGGTCAGTGTAGACCCACTTTGGGAGAGGACGCGGACGAGACGGAGAGGAAGGGCAGCGCAGTCCCCGCGCCACCACAAGAGCAGCATGGCCACCAAGACCCTTGTAGAATCCCTATTGTGGCTCACAAGCATACCGGGCATATTGATGGGTCTGGCAGAGGAGCCACGGAGGAGCCGAAGAGAAACAACGAACAATTTTTGTTGACGCACCAGAGCTAGCATCCCAGCGCGAGAAACCCTCGCTGACAAGCTGCGTCATCTTCCTAAAGTGTGCCCGCCATATGCGGTCACAAGGGCGGCCCGCGCGTGGAGGAGGCCCTGGACGCAAAACGCTGCGCCCGCGTGAGTGCAGCATGGGTCGCAGATGTCGCGGCCGCCTCCCTGCCTCCGGTAGTCGGGCTGACCCGGAGAGGAGGTTATCCCGCCTGACCGGCTCCGCCTTGCACAAGGCCAACGCGATGGCACGCAGAGGGCGAAGGCGAGCCCGTCCCGAACGAGATGCGCCAGGTATCCTCATCCGCAATTTGGAAGTCACCGACGGCCACAGCCAAATTAGACATCGGCTGCCGACGAGCACAGGTAAGATGCTGAAGCAGTCGAGCACGAACTCGCTGGCTTTGGACCGCAGAAATCCCGAAGTTGCGGATGTTCCAATGGAACAACGTGAAGTCATTGAAGCGAGAAGTAGTCGTCAGTACCAGAACTCGCCCAGGAATCAAAACTTCCGATGAGATACCCAAGGCGCCCACAGACGATACTAGCGCAAGCGCGCCACCAGCGCGAGGGGCCCCACTGTCACTCACAAAGGCACGGTGTGACACCCGAAAGCGTTGAAGAGCTTCTTCGATTTGAGCTTGATCGCCATGCACCTCCTGAACTGCAACAATCGTGGCCAACTGGGCAAGATGCCGCATGCGGGCAGACAGCTTAACGCCATCGAAGTGCAACAGCGACGAGGCGCTTCACGATGCGATGCGGAGCTGGCCGCACCGAACAGCACGTTACCCACACGACGAGATCTCCCTGTCGCAGAAAATCCGCTGCACCAAGGAGGTGGCCTCCTCTCGCGTGTGCTGCGAGTCTGCCAGGGCGACAAGACTCCACTCGACCTTGGGGATGCGGGAGCCCGAGTTGACGTGGACCTGCACCAGGGGCTCCCACTTCGACACCAGACGACCATCTCACGATCGGCGAAGGTGCGGAGGCCCCAATGGTCAAGGATACCCTTGCGCAGCTTCTTGATCGCCATCTCGGTGGCCACCCCCTTGCGGTCTTATCCGCTGAGACGTAGATCGCGACTGCAGAGGGGCCGACCACGGCTGTGAACACCCGCCAGCGGCCAACGCCTGTGCGGAGCTGCAGCTGCGCCTGGCGGCGCCTGCTCTCGCGGGTCGCGGGCATGGCGCCAAGGAAGGAGAGCACGTACTGCTTGGCCATGTCGTAGCCGAGGAGGTCAACATGCTCTCCCAGCTGGAGGTTGGCCGCACCCAGCCACTCCTTGAGCGCGTCGGCGACGGACGCCTTGGGAATGGCACTGGCACGTCGAATCTGGAAGATGGTTGGGTCGGCAGGGCGGTCCCAATCGCCAGAAGTGAAGGGGGCCTCACGAGGCTTTGCACGTGACAGGTCGAGCTCTTTCTCGAGGTGCAGCAGCCTGTGGTTGAGCTCCGCAAACTGGTCTCCCACCGTGGCGATCTTGGCGTCCTGGCGCGACAAGTCGTCACGGAACCGTCTGATCTGTTCATTGAAATTTTCCTCGAACTTGAAAATGAGAGGGGCGGTGGCCTGCGCCCGCGCTTCAGGAAGACGAGTGTACAGCTCAGCAATTGCGGTTTGGGTGAACTCCTCGATGGCCGAATTCTTGAAGTCCTCAAATGAGGGTCCGTCACGAGCATTGGCTTGTGCCCATGGATCGGGGATGCCGCCACTGGCGGGGCTAGCCGCCCAGGGGGGCTGCTGCGGGGGCGTGGGCCATGGAGCGGGACCAGGACGTGCCAGCCCACTTGGTGCACCACCAGCCACTTCCGAAGACGATGGGGCGGCGCCTTGCGCGCGGCCACTGGTAGCCGACAGCGCGGCGGAGCGGCGGAGCGGTCCGCCAGCTCAGCGACTTTGAGGAGCTGGCCGTCCGAGAAGGTGGGCGGGATGTCGAGGTCCTTCTCGCTCTCCGAGCACGGCGTGTGGATGCCGAAGTGGGCGGTGCTGGCGGCCGAAGCCTCGAAACCAGTAGGAGCGTCCCCCCTCTACGGCAGCAGTCTCCCTCAGGACCTCCATGAAGGGGGTCGCCGCGAACCTGGCTTCGGGAGCGGCGAGTGGCGGCAGACAATGAATCTCCTGCGCTGCAGGGGGAGTGGCGCCGATCTCGATCTCGATCCCTGTCACGGTCGCGAACACGGCGATGAGAGACAAAAGCCCGCGCAGGAGGCGAAGGCGAGCGAGAGATCGACGACTCGACCGTGTGCTCCTTCCGCGACTTGCCATTGCGCTTGCTTCCACCCATCTGAAAAGGGGCGGCGAGACTGGATCTGCTGGTGGGAGCCCAACCCCACCGGTGAAGGCTTGGGAAAGGTCAGGGACTAGCCGCAGACCAGCGGTGTCCACGTGGCCGTTGGGCGACATGGAGCCTTGAGCCAAAATGGCTACGGAGGAGGAGGAGGAGGAGGAGGAGGAGGAGGAGGAGGAGGAGGAGGAGGAGGAGGAGGGGTCGAGCCCTGGCTCCTTCACCTGCCTGCTCTCTGCCTTGTACGGCTGGAACGCCTTCAGGGAGGCGTTGGGCACCGAGCCTCCGTGCGGCCGCCTGCAGTGGGCCATGTCTCGCAGGAGCTCCTTTTTCAAGGAGCCCAGGGACACACACACACACACACATCTATCGATCCATCTATCTATCTATCTATCTATCTATACATATATATATATATATATATATATATATATATATATCGGAGGTGAGGGGGTGAGATCGAAGTGGAACGGAGAGCCCCCCTACCGGGAAATCGATTTCGGTTTCGTGTTCGTGCGTGCCGTGCGCGCGGGCGAGGCGAAGCTGCGTGGGCGGGCGAGAGGAAAGTCTCCTGTGGCTGAGGCGCGGCCGGACCAAATGTGTCTCTTCCGGGCGGCCGGTGGCGCGCGGTGTCCCGCCGGTGTCCCGCTGGTGTCCCGTCGGTGTCCCTGTGGCTGAGGCGCGGCCGGACCAAATGTGTCTCTTCCGGGCGGCCGGTGGCGCGCGGTGTCCCGCCGGTGTCCCGCTGGTGTCCCGTCGGTGTCCCTGTGGCTGAGGCGCGGCCGGACCAAATGTGTCTCTTCCGGGCGGCCGGTGGCGCGCGGTGTCCCGCCGGTGTCCCGCTGGTGTCCCGTCGGTGTCCCGTCGGTGTCCCGATGATGATGTGGATGATTATGATGATGATGCTGATGATGATGATGGTGATGATGGCGATGATGATGATGATGATGATGATGATGATGATGCTGCTGATGATGATGATGATGGTGATGATGATGATGATGATGATGATGATGTTGGTGTTGTTGTTGTTGATGATGATGACGTCGATTGTGAGATCGATTGTGACATCGATAGTGAGACCGAATGTGAGATCGATTGTGAGATCGGTAATCAGATCGATTATGAGATCGATAGTCAGATCGATTGTGAGATGACGATGGTAATGATGATTATGATGATGATGGTGCCGAGTGAAAACTGCAAAGTGGAAATCGATAATGAGATCGATTGTGAGATCGATAGTGAGACCGAATGTGAAACCGAATGTGAGATCGATTGTGAGATCGATTGTGAGATCGATAGTGAGATCGACAGCGAGACCGAATGTGAGACCGAATGTGAGATCGACTGTGAGATCGATTGTGAGATCGATAGTGAGATCGACAGTGAGACCGAATGTGAGACCGAATGGGAGATCGATTGTGAGATCGATTGTGAGATCGATAGTGAGATCGATAGCTAGATCGACAGTGATATCGATAGTGAGATCGAATGTGAGATCGATTGTGAGATCGATAGCGAGATCCATTGAGTGAGACGTTGGTTCCCCCTCCCCCCTCACCTCCTTATCACCCGCAGGGTGGTCGTATAGGTGTATATATATATATATATATATATATATATATATATTCCTCTTTCTATATTTTTACAAGCCCTGGCGGGGGGAAAACCCATCCCCCCCCCAAAAAAAAAACCGGGCTCCGGGATCTGGGGCTTTGGGGCCTTCCAGACGGGCCTCGAAGCGGCCCCCCGGGCCTCGCAGGGCGTTTTGCCATCCCCAGCACACCTAGGGCGATCGGGGGGGTCATCGGAGACGTCCCAGAGACCCCGAAGACAGACCTCAAGACGACCCCCAAGAAGCCATCATATCCCCAACGATCGTCCCGAAACGTCCCAAGAGGCCTCCAAAAGCACTCCCAAGAAGGCCCCAAGAGGCAAACATCATTGCTTTTCTATCGTTTTTTGGTGAATGTTGGGGTTCTCCTCGTTTGGGCTTCCCGACGCTCCAAGACGGCGATCTTCTGGGCGTCCGAAGCCGCCTGGGAGGCTCTAAAATCGCCCCATAACCATTCCAAAAGGCTTCCAGGCAGTCCAAGAGAGCCCCAAAACGGCACAACAGGGGTCCAAGATGGCCCTCAGAGAGCCCCATGGCGGCCACAAATGGACCCAAGACTCCCTCCGAAGCATTCCAAATCGTGACCCGGTCGTTCAGGGAGACCGCGGTTGGAGGCAGGGCGACCCGAGGAAGCCCCAAGAGGCCCCCAGAACACGCCCGAGAGGCCTCCAGAAGGCCTTAAGAAAGCTTGACATAACTTTTGCGAGGCCCCCAGAGGCTCTCCAAGGAGGAGCCTCCGCAAAAAGAGCCGAGGAGGATGGGGAGAATGCGCAGGGTATGGCGAAAATGAGGAAAAAGAAGCATGGAGGAAGGACAACGAATAACATTATTATAGCGGCGATGCCAGCAAAGGCAACAAGGAACTATCGCTAAATTGTCGGCTCGACCTCCCTGCTATTCCGCCTGCGTGCCAAACCTCAAGGACCAAGGTGCATGGCGCGAAGCGCCACTGCAGTCTTGTATCTATATGTATATATATATATATATGTATATCGGAGGTGAGGGGGTGAGATCGAAGTGGAACGGAGAGCCCCCCTACCGGGAAATCGATTTCGGTTTCGTGTTCGTGCGTGCCGTGCGCGCGGGCGAGGCGAAGCTGCGTGGGCGGGCGAGAGGAAAGTCTCCTGTGGCTGAGGCGCGGCCGGACCAAATGTGTCTCTTCCGGGCGGCCGGTGGCGCGCGGTGTCCCGCCGGTGTCCCGCTGGTGTCCCGTCGGTGTCCCTGTGGCTGAGGCGCGGCCGGACCAAATGTGTCTCTTCCGGGCGGCCGGTGGCGCGCGGTGTCCCGCCGGTGTCCCGCTGGTGTCCCGTCGGTGTCCCTGTGGCTGAGGCGCGGCCGGACCAAATGTGTCTCTTCCGGGCGGCCGGTGGCGCGCGGTGTCCCGCCGGTGTCCCGCTGGTGTCCCGTCGGTGTCCCGTCGGTGTCCCGATGATGATGTGATGATGATGATGATGATGATGATGGTGATGATGATGATGATGATGATGATGATGATGATGATGATGATGATGATGATGATGATGATGATGATGATGATAATGATGTTGGTGTTGTTGTGGATGATGTTGATGATGATGACGTCGATTGTGAGATCGATTGTGACATCGACAGTGAGACCGAATGTGAGATCGATTGTGAGATCGATTGTGAGATCGATTGCGAGATCGATAGTCAGATCGATTGTGAGATGATGATGGTAATGGTGATTATGATGATGATGGTGCCGAGTGAAAATTGCCGAGTGAAAACCGATAATGAGATCGATTGTGAGACCGATAGAGAGACCGAATGTGAAACCGAATGTGAGATCGATTGTGAGATCGATTGTGAGATCGATAGTGAGATCGATAGTGAGACCGAATGTGAGACCGAATGTGAGATCGACTGTGAGATCGATTGTGAGATCGATAGTGAGATCGACAGTGAGACCGAATGTGAGACCGAATGTGAGATCGATTGTGAGATCGATTGTGAGATCGATAGTGAGATCGATAGCGAGATCGATAGTGATATCGATAATGAGATCGAATGTGAGATCGATTGTGAGATCGATAGCGAGATCCATTGAGTGAGACGTTGTCCCCCCTCCCCCCTCACCTCCTTATCACCCGCAGGGTGGTCGTATAGGTATATATATATATATATATATATATATATATATATATATATATCGGAGGTGAGGGGGTGAGATCGAAGTGGAACGGAGAGCCCCCCTACCGGGAAATCGATTTCGGTTTCGTGTTCGTGCGTGCCGTGCGTGCGGGCGAGGCGAAGCTGCGTGGGCGGGCGAGAGGAAAGTCTCCTGTGGCTGAGGCGCGGCCGGACCAAATGTGTCTCTTCCGGGCGGCCGGTGGCGCGCGGTGTCCCGCCGGTGTCCCGCTGGTGTCCCGTCGGTGTCCCTGTGGCTGAGGCGCGGCCGGACCAAATGTGTCTCTTCCGGGCGGCCGGTGGCGCGCGGTGTCCCGCCGGTGTCCCGCTGGTGTCCCGTCGGTGTCCCTGTGGCTGAGGCGCGGCCGGACCAAATGTGTCTCTTCCGGGCGGCCGGTGGCGCGCGGTGTCCCGCCGGTGTCCCGCTGGTGTCCCGTCGGTGTCCCGTCGGTGTCCCGATGATGATGTGGATGATTGATGATGATGATGGTGATGATGATGGTGATGATGGCGATGATGATGATGATGATGATGATGATGATGATGATGATGATGATGATGATGATGATGATGATGATGATGATGATGTTGGTGTTGTTGATGATGATGACGTCGATTGTGAGATCGATTGCGACATCGATAGTGAGACCAAATGTGAGATCGATTGTGAGATCGATAGTGAGATCGATTGCGAGATCGATAGTCATATCGATTGTGAGATGATGATGGTAATGATGATTATGATGATGGTGCCGAGTGAAAACTGCCGAGTGAAAATCGATAATGAGATCGATTGTGAGACCGATAGAGAGACCGAATGTGAAACCGAATGTGAGATCGATTGTGAGATCGATTGTGAGATCGATAGTGAGATCGATAGTGAGACCGAATGTGAGACCGAATGTGAGATCGATTGTGAGATCGATTGTGAGATCGATAGTGAGATCGATAGCGAGATCGATAGTGATATCGATAGTGAGATCGATTGTGAGATCGATTGTGAGATCGATAGCGAGATCCATTGAGTGAGACGTTGGTTCCCCCTCCCCCCTCACCTCCTTATCACCCGCAGGGTGGTCGTATAGGTGTATATATATATATATAATTCCGCCGACCCTGTCGGTGTGAGGGGCTTGTCCGTTCAACTCGTCATCTCCGTCATTCGTTGGTCGTCGTCTCTGTCGTCCCCTTTCCCTGCCTCACCCCTCTCTGTCGTTCGTTGGTCGTACTTGAGTCGACGGGCAGCCCCAGGGACCTCCTCAGCGCGCCAGCCAAAGCGAAATTGACCAACGTCGTAATTGAGTCGAAGGGAAGCCCCTTCCCTTCGATCCCTCCCCCGCCGGGGGGGGGTGTCAGGGGGGGTCCTGGGGGGGGGAGGAGGGTCAAACGCCCCACCCACCCGGGGAGTCCCGGAGCCCAAAAAAGCCCCAAGACGGGCCAAGAGTGCCCCAAGAGGCCCCAAAGAAAGTCCAAGAGAACCCCGAATCGCCGAACGATCTGTCCAAGACGCCTTGACGGCCTCCAGACGGCCCAAGAGGCCTGCAAAGCGCCCCTAAGAGGCCTCCAGGAGCTTTCTTACGAGAGCCCCAAGAGGCACAATTCATGGATTATACGTTTTTGACAGATTTTGGCGTTCTTGCCTCTTCCGCTTCCCGACGCGCCAAGACGGCCCAAGAGGCCCCCAAGATCGCCCCGAGGCGGCTTAAGAGGCCCCCAAGAGGTCCCCTAACGGCCGAAGAGGGCCCCAGGACGGCCCAAGACGCCTCCAAGAGGCCCGCAAGACGGCTCAAGGAGAGTGCCCAGACGGGGGACCCGAACAGACATTTCGAGCTCTCAGCCCCAAGAGGCCCCCAAGAGGCCCCGAAGAAGCCCAAGAGGCCCCAAGAGGCTCCCAAGGGGCCCCCAAACTGCCCCAAGACAGCCCAGGCCTCCAATAGTGCCTCGAGACGGCGCAAGAGGAGCCCTGGACGGCCCAAGACGGCCTCAGGAGAGCCACAGGCTGTCCCAAGAAAGCCTCTGGCCTCCTCCTCCTCCTCCTCCTCCTCCTCCTCCTCCTCCTCCTCCCTCTCCTCTGCCTCCTCCTCCTCCTCTCCTCCTCCTCCTCCTCCTCCTCCTCCTCCTCCTCCTCCTCTCCTCCTCCTCCTCCTCCTCCTCCTCCTCCTCCTCCTCCTCCTCCTCCTCCCCCCCCTCTGCTCCCCCTCCTCCTGCTCTCATTTGCCTCCTTCTTCTCCTCTTGCTTCTCCTCCACATCCTTCTCCCACCTCCTCCTCTCTCGTCCACCTCCTCCACCCTGCCCCCCCTCGTTTTCATCTTCGTCGCTCTCAGGGTCGGCGGCGACGGCCGTAAGGCCTTCGCAGTAAATATATGCAGATCCCAGGATTCCCTACATTTTCTCCTATTTTCTGGATTTTCGTCTTCCCCCCCACTTCCCATGTTTTCCCAGCTGTTCCTGGGAGTCGACGATTGATCGTGCCTGTGTGAGTTTTTCCCTGATGATCCTTGTACCGCGAGAGAATCATGCCCTGCCACATGGCATCCATCATCATGCTCTTTGCCTGCTTTTGCCTGCGCGCCAACACTCGATGGACCGCGTAGATCCACCACATGCGAACCACGGTGTAGCGCACCAGGCCCCGCCGGGGGTAGTCCTGGAGGTCGCACAGCCGGAGACCCGGCCACCACTTCATCGCACTGTCGTGGATCAGCCAAGACCTGACACTAGAGATCACCTTTCGAACAGCGTGTACCTGATCTTCAGTCACATTGAGGCGCACTGGGTCAGGGACGTTCACCGACCACTTCCACTTCTTAGGCATCAGGGCCTCCCCCGCCCTTGCCTTGCCGCGACTGAAGAATGTATCCGAGCGAGGAATCCTTTGCGACTTTTGCGTCGGTGTCTCTGCTCTCGTTGATGCCGGGTCGGAGTCGGACCCCCTGGGTGTGAGGCCTCCCGCGTGAACTGCTTCTGCTCCGCACTCCAGCTCCACCCTGAGCAGCGAGAACACAAGATGCCTCTCTGGAAACCTCGGCGGACGAAACGCAACGTACATATAGCTTTCATTCGTGAAAGGCAGTCTGCTCAAGCTATGCTACAGTCCTCTACCCCACCCCCTCCCAACTACGGGACAAGCGCCACCACAATCGAAGCGCGTCATGCCACCCCACCCTGGAACAGCGCCAGCTCCAAGGGACTCTCACTTGTGCTTCCACGTCGTTCACAACGACCCGCCCAGAGACGCGAGGCGGGGTTTTATCCTCAGCACCGCATTTGGAAACGATGTCCTAGGACCCAAGGGGCCGGTGGATAGGGATGTATTTGGGCCCCCGGGGGGGAAGATCGGTTCCCCAAGCGTCGGACGTGTTACGTTACATCTTCAGGGGAACTCTGCCCCACGGCGCCAGCTATCCGTCTCGAAGCCGCGTCGAATCCGTGTCGACCAAGCCGAATTCGCGTCGCCTCGACGTCGAATCCACGTCGGATCCGTGTCAGATCCGCGTCGGGGAGACCCGTGTCGGTTACAATAGAAGCATGCAACTAGCAGGACAGGCAAGGTCCCCCGAAGATGCAACGCAAGATATGGTCAAATACCCCCGCCCCGGGAAGGGACAGAGGGACAGAGCTCCACACAGACTCGGGGCAGTCTATGCTGCCAAGCGGGAGAGAGAGAGAGAGAGAGGAGCTACCGCAACGAAGCTGCGGACACTACGGCGGCGACGCCGACAGGCAGCGTAGGCGGAATGGTGGAATGTTCGGTGGCAGCTCATGGGAGCTTCCCATACCATCTTGGCGGCTCTTGCGTCTTGACGCTAATCGACGCTAGCGGGTTCTGCGAAATCGACGCTCAATCGACGCTAATCGACGCTAAATCGGCGCTATCTCATCGACTCCCAGACGCGAATCGACGCTAGCCGACGCTGAAGACGGAATTCAGAGGGCACACGAGGCCCCCATGACTTGCTACCGAAAGGATGGGCAGCGGACGTTGGGCTCTGGGGGCGAGAGGTCGTGGAGGACATGTGCAGCAGGAGGTCAAACAACGTAGTCAAGCATGCGCGGCTTTCTTGCGTCGGCACTGGACCCCCACCCTGGCGCGCGAAGCGCGCCAGGGACGGCGCTGCAGGCGCCGCCACAGGGGTCCAGTGCAGATCCAAGAAATCTGCGCGGACCTCTCAAATCGTGCTCGCATCCATGGGTTCATGCTTGTCTCCCAACAAGGAGTTGGTTGCGTCAGGCGAGGTTCCGCCACGTTTCCTCAAATCGGGCGTGTCCCCCTACCTGCGGATTTTGGAGGGAAAATCAAACATACCTAGCAAATGCCCCAAAATAGTCCAACAATAATCGACGAATCGTCCCCGCACTATTTTTTGACTATTCTCGAATACTCCTCCCGTAGAGGGACAGGCCCGACTTACACGTTGCCGCCTCATTGCCGCCTCTTGCGCTGGGCGGGCCCAGCGAGGCTTCGCCACTGTGCCGCCCGTTCTGCAGCCTCGCTGCCGCCTCGTGCGCTGAGTGGGCCCAGCGAGGGCTCGCCACGCTGCCGCCCGCTGCTGCCTCGATAGCGTCAGGTCGGGCACGTCCCCCTAACAGGCGGACTTTGGACGGAACGTGTTGCTTTACTACTCTTGAGTAATTTTCCTCCCGCCGGGGAGCAGGCCCGACCTCACGAGAGCGCCTCGTGCGCTGGGTGGGTCCACCGAGACTTCGCCACGTTGGAGCCCGTTGCCGCCCCGCTGCCGCCTCGCCGCTGGGTGGGGCCGGCGACTTCGCTGCGTGGCCGCCTCGCTGCCGGCTCGAGCGCCGGGTGGGCCCGGCGAGGTTTCGCAGCGCTCGGGCCCGTTGCCACCTCGTGGCCGCCTCGCGCGGGTGTGTCCGGCGATGTTTCGCCAAGTTGCCGCCCGTTGCAGCCTCGTTGCCGCCTCGTGCGCTGGGTCTGTCCGGCAAGGTCCCGCCAAATTGCCGCCTCGTTGCCGCCTCGTGCGCTGGGTGTGTCCGGCGAGGTTTCGCCACGTTGCTGCCAATGGACGCTTCTTTGCCACCTCTAGCTTGCACCGCGTAAGCTGCACCACGCAGCTTGACCAAATGGCTCACACGTCCACAGTGCAATAACTTGCTGTTTGGGTCCACGCTGGCTGACCAGTCTGCATGCGAATTTTTCTGACTCGAACAATTGCCGTGCGCGCTGCCTCCCCGGTGGGGGCTGGCATCGGATTGGGAGGCAGGGTCGAAATCGGAATCCCGCGGAGCCTTGTGAGGCCAGGGCCTGGTCTCCAGTCGCAGCACCGGCTCGGAAATCAGAAGCCCACACTAGAGGAACGAACCATGACATAAGCATAAAAACTCGGAGGTCCGCGCGAATTTCTCGGATCGGCGCCAGACCCCCCTCCCTGGCGCGCAGGGGCGGCGCCGGAGGCGCCGCCAGGGGGGGGCCCAGCGCGGATCCAAGAAACCCGCGGGGAGCGCCTAAAGTTTATGATTATGGCGATGTCTCTTCTTCGATTGACAGGGTATGGGATGTTCTGTCTCCTATTCGCTTTGTGGTGGAGGTCTGCGCGTCAGCCTGGAGCTGTTATTCGTCCGTGGAGAACCGCTGGCGCCGAGCGTGCCTCTGCTTGTCAGTGGAGGGCATCCGCTTCTCCAGCCCCTCAAGCGCCCACACGCGCCATCGCTCGAGGTGGTTCTGTCTCACCAGCTCTGCCAGCGCGAGCTTGGGCCTGTCGATCAAACTGTACAGCGGTGGGATGTGGGATCGCAGGGACGGGTTGTCGTCGAACACAAGCCCGAGTGAGCTTCTCAAACTTCGCCTCGTGCTTGAAGCTGCCGATGTTCGTTTCGAGCTCGGCTTCGAGAACCATATCGCAGACCTGCGCCGACGTCTCGAGTAGGTCGAAGAAGTGTGCGACCTGATTAAATCGATGTCCGTGTGCTGCCGCAGACGATTGGCCAAAGCTTCGGCCATCGACTCAAAGCTCGAGAACTCGGAGAACTCGAACTCCGCCTTTTCTGTTGGTTGAGTCTGGACGAAGATCCCAAGTCGGTGCATGCTGCCCGTACCTTGCCGCCGCTCGAGTTTAATGGAGCCCACCTTGGCGCCCAAGGTAAGGTGATGGAGCCCCAAGGCACCGTGGCTGTCATCCATCTGAACCCGAACATTCTTGATATCCACCGTCAGATTCTTAAGCATGCTATCTAAAATTCCACTAGCAAACCTTTTCCGAATGTTCGCGAAGTAGTTCGATGCAGAGAGCAACCCCCCAATGCGGGACGCTCCCTGTGCCTCGTCGATACCTTTATCACTCTCTGGCGAAGGCGTCAGGCGCTCGCATATGATCTCGACCAAATTCGACTTTGCTTCCCGAACAATATCCGGGGTCCAATAGCAACTCGGACGGTTTGAATCTTCTGCCTCTGCAAGGCCATCCCCTGGCGCCAATAGCAAGACAGCGTTCTCCACTTTGAGACTCGCCTCCGAAGTTCCTTTCCAGCTGAACTTCATGCTCAAGTGGAGTTCCTCTACTAGACCACCCCGCAGCGCGATGGGCAAGTGCAGACTCTGCAGCACCTCCCCGTTCAGCTCGGCCTTGTGAAGGCGCACAGTGAGGTCAGAGGGCATCTGGAATCTGACAAACACATTCTCGGGCGCCACCCTGAGGAGGTCACCAGCGAAAGCCATGAATCTATTCCTCATGATGGCGTCAGTGAAATTCTCCGTGGCAGTGTCCGCGGCAGACAGGTCGTGAAGGATCTCGAACGCACGGATGCCCCTGTGAACGAGTAGCAGCAGCCCCGCACATATCGCCTGTGCGCTAAGCTTCTCGCCAGATTTCAAGAGCGCGTCGTGGTTCCAATTCGTTTGGATTAAGAAGTAGAGCCCCGACATGGCGGTCACGATCTCGACCTTGTGCACTGTAGGGGACACAAACTGCTCGAACCCACCCTGCACAGTGCAGCGGATCATGAACTCGAACGCGTACAGGGCCGCGAGGGCATACCCAGTGAACTTCGTGGTCCCATAGAACATCTCCAGCGCCCTCACCGTGCGCGAGAGTGTGACGAGGAAGGCCTGGCCAATTATCCAGAGTGCTATCAAGAGCTGCACGATGACGCTGTCAAGGAATGCCTCCATGCGGGCAAGGCGCTCTTTGTTGCGCAGCGCAATCTTCTCCTCATGCTCTTGCTTCCACAGGTAGCGATCTCTGCCCCGCCGCGCCCGACGCCGCTTCTCCTCCTCCTCTACGGTGATGTTGAAGCATATGCCCCAGAAGCGCTGGAAGCGAACCCACGCGACCACATTGACGCTGAACAGATTCGCTCTGAAGCCGTCACGGCTCATGGTGCCACCCTGTCTTGTCCGCCTGAAGGGGTCATTCACACCTCCTCCTCGTCCTCCTCCTCCTCCTCCTCCTCCTCCTCGTCCTCCTCCTCCTCCTCTTCCAATTGTCCGCCTGAAGGGGTCAACCACACAGACCCAGAGCCAGTACAAGAAAACGCAAATGACTAGCACCTCCAGCTTGTGGAAGAACCCGCCGGCCCCATGGAGGGGCCCCCAGGCTGCAACCCTCCCTGCTGGTGCTGGACTGCTGCCCTGCCGTTGCTTCTTGCTTGCCGTCTGTCGTTCTCTCGTCCTGCCTCCTCCTCCTCCTCCTCCTCCTCCTCCTCCTCCTCCTCCTCTTGCTCCTCCTAATCCGTCCCCTCCTGCTCCTCCTCCTCCTCCTCCTCCTCCTCCTCCTCCTCCTCGTCCTCCTCCTCCTCGTCCTACTCCTCCTCCTCGTCCTACTCCTCCTCGTCCCCCTCCTCGTCCCCCTCCTCGTCCTACTCGTCCTCTGGCCCCACTGAGGGACGCCAAGCTGCAGCACTCCCAGACCCCCGGCGTCGTCATTTTTTCATGACGTCGACCCCCCTCCCCGGGACCGGTTTTTCGTCCCGAATCGGTTTTGACGGTCCTGAGGCTCGGCGAGGTTCCCCCAGGGGCCGAAAATTGCGAAAAACCTCCTGTCGTGATTGTTTCATTACCTTAGCTGCCCCGATACGCAACACGCAACACGTAGCGAATTGATACGGAGCTCAACACGTAGACTGAACACGTACGTTTTGAACACGGACGTTTTGAACACGGCACGTGTTACGTTTCAAAACGTGCGTATCAAAACGTACGTATCAGAGAGGGGTCTGGGCTCCCTGCTGGTGCTGGACTGCTGCCCTGCTGGTGCTTTCCGCCGTCTCTCGCTCTCCCTCGTCCTACCTCCAGCGTCCCGTCCCTCGCTTTTTCCGGCCCTGCCTCATTCCCGTTCTCGACCGCCTTGTAAGCAAGAGGGATGGGGAAGGAGGACGAGGCAATGGACGAGGAGAAGGACGAAAAGGAGGAGGAGGAGGAGGCGAAGGAGGAGGAGAAGGAGGAGAAGGCGGAGGAGGAGGAGGAGGAGGAGGAGGAGGAGGAGGAGGAGGAGGAGGAAAGCGAGGAGGAGGAGGAGGAGGTGGAGGAGGCGGAGGAGGGCTGCACCCCTTGGGCGGGGCGCGGGGGGGGTTGGCGCCGCGCGGCATCCAGCGGCCCCCGACGGCTTGTGAGTCCGGAGTTTTCGAACAAACAGAAAACGCCCAGGTGAAGTCCTCCTCCTCCTCCTCCTCCTCCTCCTCCTCCTCCTCCTCAAGAGCGCCCCCCCGCGCCCCCCATCTCCATGTCCACCTGCTCGCGCAGGCCGCGGCTTGCAAATGTGGGCGCTGTTTATTCAAAACGACTCGCACACACACACACACACACACACACACACACACACACACACACACACACACACACACACACACACACACACACACACACACATTCACACACACACACAAACACACACACACACAACACACAACACACAACACACAACACACACACACACGGGTGGCTCAAACACGCGCTCTCACCCACCCGCGTTCCCACATGCTCCCGCGAGCCTTGTGCGGAGTCGCGCGGTGCATGTGCGCCCCATCACGCCACCGGGAACCGACTGACAGCTTTCCACGCCGAGACAGCGCGCACACAGCACGGGCTGCACGCAGCGCCAGCTGCAGCGCCGTGGTTGTCTTGCGTCGCGTGTGTTTGTGCGTAGGTTGGCTCCACCAGTGCGGGGAAGGGGCCGGTCCTGTCGGTTGGGTGCTTTCAAGAGCGGCGTGCGGGGTGCGTACTTTGGTGTTGGGTGGCTGCACAGCGGACCGTGCCCCACCCACGTACTTCCCCCTCACCCACCGCCGCCTGCATCGTTTGCCTTGGCGCGCGGTTTGGGTTGAGACGGTGTGAAGATACGGCGTCCCGCGTTAGGCGGGGGAACGAACGAACACACACACACATACACACACATATATATATATATATATATATATATATATCCCCACGTTGCACGCCCCGATCTTTGACCTTGGGGTCTGGGGGCTGGACCCGCTTCAGCATGCATTAGAGAGGGGCGTGCTTGTTCGAAAACCACCGTTCCCTGAGATCCGACGTTGCCAAACAATTTGCAGCATCGCAGAAATCACGACTGGAGCCCTGGACCGCATCGTTCTGCGTCATTTTTCCGGCCGGATCGATCTGTGAGGGTCCCAGGGCCCGAAACGGAGCGAAAACGACCGTTGTAAAAAAATTACAGCGTCCGGATCCCAGGGAGGGGCACTTTTGCTCGAAAACTCCGGTTCCTCCAGGGCCCCCCGACGGCTTGGAATGCCTCCGACGGCCTCCGTGGGCCTCCCGCCGGCTTCCGACGGCCTCTGGGGGCCGCAAGGCCCCCGGCAGCCTCGCGGGCGCGCCCGAGGCGCCCGCGCGGCGGCCGGGACGCCTGGCGGAACCGCAAGACGGTCGGCCGAAAACGACCTCCTCCTCCTTCTCCTCCTCCTCCGCCTCCTCCGCCTCCTCCTCTTCCTCCTCCTCCTCCTCCTCTTCCGCCTCCTTCTCCTCCTCCTCCTCCGCCTCCTTCTCCTCCTCCTCCGCCCGCACCCGGGGGAGGTCGTTTACGGCGGATCGTCGGCGCCTGGCAACCGTAACCAGGGGGCCGCAACATGATATCACCATCATCCCCATCATCATCGTCACCATCACCATCAACATCTCCATCACCACCATTATTGAACGATGCACGATTTCGTCCACATCATCATCACCACCACCATCGTCATCATCATCAACATCATAACTGGCCAACAACAACATCATCATCATCATCCTCGTCGTTGTCGTCGTCATCGCCACCACCACCAACACAATCATCACCACCACCACCAGCACCTCCTTCATCATCGTCATCATCATCACCATCACCACCATTATCATCATCATCATCACCATCACCATCACCATCACCATCACCATCACCATCATCATCATGATCATGATCATCATCATCATCATCATCATCATCATCATCATCATCATCATCATCATCATTATCGTCGCCATAATCGTCACAACCAGCACCACCACCATCATCATCATCATCATCATCACAACCACCATCAGCATCATAATCAGCACCAGCGTCACAATTAGCATCAGCAGCATCATCACCATCATCATCATCTTCATCATTATCACGTTTATTATTATTGTTAGCATTAAAAGGATTACCACAATTATCGTCCTTACCATCACCATCACCATCATCAGCATCAGCATCATAATCAGCGTCATCAACAGAATTATCATTTTCATTCTCATCACCATCACCATCACCATCATCAGCATCAGCATCAACATCATCATCAGCATCATCATAACCATTTTCATCGTCATCATCATCATCCTCATCATCATCGGCACCATCATCGTCATCATCATCAGCATCACCATCACCATGATTGGTTCAATTAATTGTATCGCCCTTACTTCTACCATTATCATTATTGTTCTTACTATTATTATTATCAGTACCATCACCATCACTATCATCAGCATCATCGCCATCAGCATTATCATCATCAGCATGATCAGCATCAGCATCATCATCATCATCATCAGCAGCATCATCATCATCATCATCATCATCATCATCTTCAGCATCATCATCATCATCAACATCATCATAATGACCGTCCTCAAAACAATCACCAACTCGTACCATTCTCATATTCGTCCGCACGTTTACCCATGACACGGCCCCAGAGCCCCCCAGATTTATCGAGACGGCCCAAAGGTGGCCCCAAAAGGCCCCACGATGCCGCCTGGTTCGCCAAGGATTGGCCAGCAGGACCGCAAAATGCCCCCAAGACGGGCTCCAGAGGCCCCAAGATGTCCCCGATGTTGCCCACGACTGCCCGAAGGTGGCCCAAGGAACCCTCAGGTTGCCCGAAGGAGGAGGAGGATGAGGAGGAGGAGGAGGAGCAGTAGAAGGAGAAGCAGCAGGAGGAGGAGGAAAAGGACCAATGGAAATCCAAGAGTCATCTACGATGTTGGCATTAAACCTCCCTCCAAGCTCCCTCTTCATAGGCCCCTGCAACGGTTCATTTCCATTGAAGGAACTGCCTCGTTGGAAGACACCCGTTTGAAGATCCTGAAGCGTGCAAAGACAATGTTCTCGGGATTTCAACGCCACGTATCAACCTGACTGCTGCGTCTTGACGATCCAGAATCGTGCCAGAACGCCTTCTGGGGGATTTCAAAACAGCGAATCAACATAACTGTTGCGCCCACATAATCATGAATCCTTCCAAAACATCATTTCTGGTACGTTGATCCTGGGAATCCGTGGAACTCTTGCGAATAAAAGAACGAATGTGCGCGGCGCTAAGGCGAGAACAACATTTTGAAAAGGAACCGTCCTCAATCCGTGAAACCCTTGCAAATGTTTATAACGAATGTGTGCGGCGCTAAGGCGAGAGCCACATTTTGAAAAGGAACCGCCCTCCATCCGTGAAGCTCTTGCACATGTTTCACACGAATGTGCGCGGCGCTAAGGCGAGAGCCACATTTTGAAAACCACCCGCCCTCAACCCGTGAAGCTGCTGCCACTTCTTCAGCGCCAGAGTCATGCATGGTGAGGAAGTCTCAGGCGAAACGCCCGGCCCGCCCTAAAAACTGGCCTCGGGGTGCGACAGGGAGGAGTTATCTATAAGGCAAACGAATGGAGGAGGAAGATTGCCCGAAGGTGGCTCCAAGAGTGCCCGAAGATGGCCAGAAGCTGGCTCAGCCCAGCGGGCCCGGGGGCAGAAGGCGCAGCCACTCAGATAACGAAAAAAAGCGCAGCCAAGAACTGCCCTGGTGAAGGGGGCCACCCTGCGCTGCAACTCGGATCAGCAGCTCGCACATGGTGATCAAGAAGAGCAGGAGGAGAGTGCACGCAGCAAAATACACCTGCTCGCTGGGCACGTGCTCCCCGGTAGGAATCCAATAACTCGCGCCGTTCATCACGGCCACGACACCAAACAAAATCTGCATGGGCCACGAGTCCACAAATCGCTGCAGCAAGATTTTGCTGCGCCGTCGCGCTTGGATGCCTCTAGCCCAGAGAATCGCGCCAATTCGTCGGTCATCGGGGTCGGAGTCCGACTTCTCCGAAGGAGAAGATTTGACGCCGCCTGGTAGGTTCTTCAAGTCCAGATGTTCTAGGCCTAGGCTAGCCAAGCCGCCGGTATGATCAAAGATAAGCCGGCTGTCCCTTGCATCTACCCACGACTCCGCCATAGTGGCGTAGGACAGCCTCGAGCCCCTCCGATTTCTGGAAGCCCTGGAGTGGCGATCTGCTGGCGGAGACGGGGACTCAGAGGCCATGGAGAAGCGTCGATCTGCTCCCTGGGTCGGGAACCCGGCGGCCCGGGACCGGTGCGCCGCCCTGCCTGCCCCCGGACTGGCCGGAGGACTGATGGTCGGGGATCTGGATGATCCAGAGGACCGGGAGCGTCGGCGCGCCGCCCCGTCTCCCCGCGGACTGGCCGGAGGACTGCTCGTCGGGGACCCAGTGGCCGGGGAGCGTCGGCGCGCCGCCCCGTCTCCCCGCGGGCTGGTCGGAGGACTGTCTGGTCCCGGCCCGGAGGCTCTGGACCGTCTGGCGTGCTCCATCCGCGCCGCAGGCCACTCGCAGGCGGGGCCGCTCACGCACGCGCGGGGCCGCGGCGCGCTGGAAGACACCGCATCCGCCCCAGGGCCGACATGTTCTTTGATGCCTGAGCCAAAACGGCTATCAGCTTGCAGCGACGACGACGACGACGACGACGACGACGACGACGACGCCGACGCCGACGCCGCCGCCGCCGCCGCCGCCGCCGCCGCCGCCGACGACGACGACGACGACGACGACGACGACGACGACAGGCCGGTGGAAGCGGCGACGGCGAACCCTGCAAGCCAGAGGCGCGTTCGGCCCTCTAGCCAGGGGGGGCGCGTCCCGCTGCCCTCTGCACAAGGGGCGTCGGCACCGCCAGGACCGTGCCCCAGCCGCGTGGCCGACGTTCGGCCCCTGCCCAGGCCCCTCACGGAGGAGGAGGAGGAGGAGGAGGAGGAGGAGGAGGAGGAGGAGGAGGAGGACGAGAAGGAGGAGGAAAGCGAGGACGAGGAGGAGGGCGAGGACGAGGAGGAGGAGGAGGAGGACGAGGAGGAGGAGGAGGACGAGGAGGAGGAGGAGGAGGGAGGAAGGATGAGGCGAAGGAGGCGGAGGAGGCGGAGGAGACGGAGGAGGAGGAGGAGGAGGAGGAGGAGGAGGAGGAGGAGGAGGAGGAGGAGGCAGAGGAGGAAACAGATGAGATGAGACGAAGGCGGACGACGGCCAGGCCGTCTGCCGCAGGGATGAAACAAACAACAAAAAACAAGCGAGTTAGAGGAGGACGGGCCGCGCCTCACCAGGAGTAGGAAGAAGAGGAGGAGCAGGAGGCAGAGGAGGAGGTGGGTGCGGGCACACTGGGGCTCGGGCGGGTGGTCATGGGGGGGTGAAGAAAAAGGCCCTGAAGGGGCCCTGTAGTGCCCCGCTTGGAGCCAGCAGGTGGGTAAAAGGGGCCCTACAGGGCCCCTTCCAAGGCACCTTTTCCACCACCCGTGCAGGCCACCCCCCCACGACCACCCGTTCGACAGGAACTGCTGCATAACATATCGCGGCGGCGGCCACGGCGACACTGTTATGCCTTGCACGCATGATGGGCATGTGTTCCACCACCACCATCACCATAAGTTGGAGGGGGGCAAGAGATGGAGGATGAGGAAGAGGAGGAGGAAGAGGAGGAGGACCCCCTCCCCCTCCAACTGAAAATGGTGGCGGTGGAACACAAGCCCACCGAAGCAGATGGCGTGTCGCTCCGCGCCGCGCAGCGAGAGGCTGCGAAGTGGCTTGGGCCGCCAAGGCTTCGGAGCGGGGGAAGTGAGGCTCCTATGCCGCGCCGAGGGCGTGGTGTGGCCCACGCCGGCGGCACGACATGCGAAGCCATAGAGTCCCTGACCGTGCCCCTGACCGGCCGGGGAAGAAACATCAGGAGAGCCCAGGATCGAATCGATTGGTCGAATCGGCGATCGGAATTGCGAGGCGGGGATTTATCCATATCCACCGCCTGGAAACCGACGTCCTGGTGCCCGAGCGGGCGGTGGATATGGATCGGAGGTGATGGGGGTGAGATCGAAGTGGGACGGAGAGCCCCCCTACTGGGAAATCGGTTTCGGTTTCGTGTTCGTGCGTGCCGTGCGTGCGGGCGAGGCGAAGCTGCGTGGGCGGGCGAGAAGGAAGTCTCCTCCAGCTGAGGCGCGGCCGGACCAAATGATTCCTTTCCGGGGGCCGGTGGCCCGCAATGTCCCGCCGGTGTCCCGCCTCCGGCTGAGGCGCGGCCGGACCAAATGATTCCTTTCCGGGGGCCGGTGGCCCGCGGTGTCCCGCCGGTGTCCCGTCGGTGTCCCGATGGTGATGATGATGATGATGATGACGACGATGATGATGATGATGATGGTGATGATGATGATGTTGATGATGATGACGATGATGATGATGATGGTGATGGTGGTGATGATGATGATGCCGACGTTGATGATGATGATGATGATGATGATGATGATGATGATGATGATGATGATGGCCATGGTGGTGATGATGGTGGTGTCCCGATGGTGATGATGTTGATGATGATGTTGCTGCTGATGATGATAATGGTGTCCCGGTGATGATGATGATGATGTTGATGATCATGATGATGTTGATGATGATGATGAGATGATGAGATGAGATGATGATGCTGATGTTGATGATGATGATGATGATGGCGTCCCAATGATGATGAGGTTGATGATGCTGCTGTTGATGATGATGGTGATGATGATGATGATGATGGTACCCCGATGAGGATGGTGATGTTGATAATGATGACGATGATGGTGTCCCGATGATGATGTTGATGATGAGGATGACGATGAGGTGATGATGATGATGACTTTGATGATTGTGGCCTGATGATGGTGATGATGATGATGCCGACGTTGATGATGATGATGATGATGATGATGATGATGATGATGATGATAATGGTGTCCCGATGATGATGATGGTGTCCCGATGATGATGCTGATGCTGATGATGATGATGATGATGATGATGATGATGGTGTCCCGATGATGATGCTGATGATGATGATGCTGATGATGATGATGTTGCTGATGATGATGATTGTGCCCCGATGATGATGTTGATGATGTTGTTCATGATGATGGTGATGATGAGATGATGACGCTGATGGTGGTGTTCCGATGCTGATGATGATGATGGTGTCCCGATGATTATGATGATGATGATGACGGTTACGATGATGTTATCCCGGTGATGATGATTGTGATGATGATGTTGATGATGTTGTTGATGAGGTGTCGATGATGTTGATGATGTCCCGATGATGATGATGACGATGATGTTGATGACGTTGATGACGATGCTGTCGCTGATGATGATGATGTTGATTGTGAGATCGATTGTGAGATCGATAGTGAGATCGATAGTGAGACCGAATGGAGATCGATTGTGAGATCGATCGTGAGATCCATAATTAGTGAGATCGATTGTGAGATCGAAAGTCAGATCGATTGTGAGATCGATCGAATGAAATAGATCGAGTGAGATCGATTCTGTGATCGATCGAGTGAGATCGATCGAGCGAGACCGATAGTGAGATCGATAGTGAGATCGGTAGTGAGACCGATCGAGTGAGACGTTGGTTCCTCCCCCCCCGAACCTCCTTATCACCCGAAGGGTGGTCGTATAGGTATTTGTTGGCCCCCGGGGTCCCGGATATATCCATATCCACCGCTTGCCGAAATCACCGAAATCCGGAGCCGAATCTACCCGGAATCGGAGTAGATCGAAATCGAATCGTATCGAATCGGAGGAATCGAAACAAGCCCTGAAACAGTGACGACGCTGCCCTGCGGACGACGGTGCCCACGAACGGCACAAGGCAAGCCCGGATTCGTGCGAAGACCCACCGGGAATGGGCGCGCCTGCGCGCGGGAAAGACCGCTAGTCGCGAGGAGGAGGCGGAGGAGGAGGAGGAGGAGGAGGAGCAGGAGGACAGGACGAGGAGGAGGAGGGCAGGAGGAGGAGGAGGAGGGGGGCAGGAATGGCGTGCGACTGCGGAAGAAGCGCCGGAAGAGGCGGAATCAGCCCCCTCACGCATCTCGCCCAAGCGGCGGATTTTGTTCCTGTGATCCAGATTCGAAGCCCACTGGCCACTGACTCAATGAAGCCACTGCCTGCTGGAACGTTGGTTCCCCGAGCCAACAAGCGCTGAGAGGGCTCAAGGTTCACTCGATCTTCTTCAGCGCCTCGAGGACCAGCTCGACCTGGATTGAAATTACTGCATCGGACCAGTGCGTGCAGTCCAGCTCGTTACGATGGCACCGCCACAGCGGCAGGAGCATCTCGTACATGTCCACAAAACGTGCGCGCTTGCTCTTCATGTGCCGCCACACGCTGTGGCCCCAAATGGCGTTCCTGTTTTTGTTGTTGCCCCCACTGGCGTCGCTCGGCAACGGAATTGGTGCGCACCCGGTCGCACCCTGGGAGACGTTGTAGGCGCCCGTCTGGGTCCGGAAGTGCTGCGGGGAAGTACCCAGCACCACCACGCGCCCTGGGAATTCCGTGACCACGTCCCTCATCAGCAGCTCTGCGTACCGCTCAAAGGCTGGGAGATCCCCATCGTTGAAATGGTTCCCGAGCAGTCCGATCACCATCACGTCGTCCGCCGTCACCTTTAGGTCGTCCCGCAAAAACCGCTGCAGCAGGGCTGCGGCCTCCTCGGCCTCCTGCGCTCCCGCGGGGTGGCCGCTCACTGCGGGGGCCACCTCCCAGCCTTCCACCTGCGACATCTCGCCCCGGGCGGAGCGCACCCAGTACCGCTTGAGGTGCTGCCACCCCTTGCCCACGTACCTCTCGTCTGTCTTGTCAAGCTCGACCTGCCAGGAAACGTTGACGCCGACCTTGAAGGGAGCGGTGCCCCGGCACGGGCGCGCGTCGCTGCAGCTGAAGCCGGGCTTGCCGAGCGCGTGCATCTGACCGACGACCGAGTCGCCGACCGTGATCAGTCTGGAGCCCGGCTTCATCTGCCTCTCCACCCAGATCTCCGGGTCGACCTCGAATCCTTCCTTCGTCACCTGCTGGCTCAGCGACGACGTCAAGCACCCCACCTGCCCCGCCTCCTGCTCCGCGAGCCGACGCAGGTAGGAGCCCGCGGTGCGGGGGGGATCGTCGCGCGCTGGCTGCTCCCGCCGCCCGGCTGCTGCCGCGACGGCCACCCCCGCCGCGCGCGCCGCCAGCGAGGCGGCGATCAGGGCGAGCATGTGGCGCTCTCTCTCGCTGGCTACAGCCGGACCTCATTGGGCAGGACACGCGAGAGGACGGACGACCCTTCCGGGGGCCACATTGCCACAGGGATGCAGGAGGCACGGGTCGCCAGACGCAGGACACCAAGGTACCCTTGACGTGGCAGGGTCGACCTACTACTCTGGGCCGACTGTATGGCACCGACGTGCGTAAGGTAACGGATTGTGCGGGTCGCCGGGGCCCGCAGGTCGCGCCTTGAGCCAAAATGGCGGCGGAGGGGGAGGGCAGGAAGAGGAGGAGGAGGAGGAGGGCAGGAGGGCAGGAGGAGGAGGAGGAGGAGGACTGACCAGGACGACCCCAGTGGTCCCAGCACAGCGGACTCTGACAACAGGGATGCGCGGAAGGGACGCAAACCCCTCACCCTGGTCAAAGCTTTCTTCCCAGCCAGGATCCGCACACGTAGTCGCTCAAAAAAGCACCCCACGCACGAGCAGAGATAATTACTGCTGTGAGCGCTGGAGATTGGGCCCTCGCTGGCGTCGCCGGGGATGCACTGCTGTGATGTGCCTAGACTACCGCAAGGGTCACTAAAGGATGGAATGCTGTGCGAGCGCAAGTGAAGGTGGATGAGAGGCGGAGGTGAGGTGGAAGAGATACGGAGGTGAAAGAAGAGGAGCCGACAATCGGGGATTGACCCTTCGCCGGCGTCGCATTCTCGCCGACGTCGCCGGGAATGAACTTGCCAAAACGGTCGCACCAAAGCAGTTGCCACGACGTCTTGCTCGCTGGCTGTTGAGCTGTGGCGGAGAACGACCCGGACGGATACGCGCCAGGAAGCAGTCGGCCTCGTCAAGCTGCTCGTCCCCTTCCGCCGGCCAGCACCGCCTGCCCGGGACCGGCGTGGCGGCATGCAGGGCTGTCCAAAGTACACGGTTTCCCCTGTGAAGCGAGGAGCCGTGCAGACCGCGTCAGGCTGCTCTCGAAGCTCCTCGGCCTCCGTCGCCCCCTCCCTGCCCGACTCCCTCCTCCTCTCCCTCCCAGGCCGCCGGCGCAGCGGCTTCCGCGGGGAGGAGAGGCTGCAGGCGCCGCGACGAGCGTGAGGGATGCTGACTGGCAAGGGCTGGAGCAGCAGCGATGGAGGGGTGCGCCGGCTGGCAACTGCGCGGAAGGCAGGAGGCCCCATGCGCGATTTCTGAGGGGGGGGGGCAGGGTTCGCATGGGGCCTCCTAGAAGAGCAGGCAATGCCACAAGAGACCGCCAGAGCCAGAACATGCAACAAGTGAGCCGAAAGAGGGCAAGGCGGTGCCGAAAAGGGCACGGGCGGTGCCGAAGAGCTCATGCTTCAGACACCCGCCTCTCCGTTCGCAGAAGAGCAGCCGAGCATAGACACTTCCATTTTATCCCATTGCTAACTACATGAAATCTCTTCCAAGAGACCCCTCGACGGAAAAGCATGACAAGATGGCCCAACAATGCAATTTCGAACAACTCGGCGATGAAAGCCGACCACCAGGCTGGGGTGGAGAGCCCGGGGACACATAGAAAGCGAACGCAAACCGCACGATCCTTGCGGACCGAAAACAGAAAGCGGAAGCGAACTACACGACACTTGCTGACCGTCCTCATCGCGTGCAAAATGAAGGAAGCGCGCTGACGAGGCTCACAGGGAAATGCACCGGAAGCACTCCGCCGAACGCATCGACGACTGCGTGTGATCACCTTCTCCCAGCATCCCTCCTATTGCAAGCCCAGCGCGACCAAGGTGCTTGCCGTAGAATTTCAAATACTGGGCGCCCGGCTACGTGCGACCACGGGTAATTCAGAGCCCCAAATCATCAGGGGTAACTCGGGTCAAGGCTAACTCGGGTTCGGTTTTCGGGAATCCGTACCCGAGTTACCCGGGGCCCGAGTTACCCCGGATAATTCGGGCGTCCAGAGCCCCAAATCATCAGGGGTAACTCGGGTCAGGACAAACTCGGGTTCGTTTTTCAGGAATCCGTACCCGAGTTACCCTGGGCCCGAGTTGCGCCGGATAACTCGGGCGCCCAAGTAATCTTCGTTCCTGGCACCCCGAACTTTGTCCATGTCATCACTTCACCTGGAACTTGGAAAAAGAAGACCGCCGGTCTGCCTCGCCTCTGATATTCACTACTTCTTGGAAGCACACGTCTGCGCCATGTCCGCCCACTCCTTGCGCCAAGGCCTCCACATCATAAAGCGTCGTCGCCTCGGCGCGCTCTTTCCCTTCGGAACCTGCATCAAAACGTGCTCGCCAGGCGAGAACAAGCCGAGCCGCGCACCAAAGATGCTCTGCAAGTGTGGATCGCCAGCGGCAGCCACAGATCCGCCAGCTCCACCGGCCATGGGAAATCTCCAGCAAGAAACGCTGGATGTGGCGTCGGCCAGCTCGGAGGATACGTCGTGCTGGGCTTCGGGCTGGGCGTTGGGTAGGGCGTCGGGCGTCGTTCCTGCGTCGGGTAAGGCCTCGGGCTGGGTGCCGCCTCCGAGCAACTGCATCCGCCACAAGTCGGGCTGCTTTTCCCCAAGGTCATCTGGAAACAAGCGCCCATAGAGCGTCGCAGGAATCGACCGCTACCCTGATTTGCACGGTTTCCCCCAGGGCCGTAGGCGACCCGAGGAGGAGGAGGAGGAGGAGGAGGAAGAGAAGGAGGAGGAGGAGGAGGTGGAGGAGTGGAGGAGTGGAGGAGTGGGAGGAGGAGGAGGAGGAGGTGGAGGAGGAGGAGGAGGACGGGTCGCCTAAGCCCTTCAGAGAAACCCTCCACCCTGATTGCGCGCGCCCCAGCTGAAAGCGAGACTGTCTGCGCGGCCATGCTGTCCTCGCAAATGATGCAAATGCTGACTTGGCATGTGCTGCCCCCGTGGCCGTTTGAAGCTTGCACCGTGGTGTGCAGAACATTGTCCACGTACAGATCAATATTTTGATACCGGGCCGCCGCGACGCCTGTGAGGGTCAGGTCGATGGGCTAAGCGTCGATCAAGGTGAGAAGGGCGGTCCCGTATTGCCTGGCATCGGACACGCCACCGCAGATTGCGTTAGAAGAAGAAAACTTTTGGCGCTCCGCGTGGATCTGGGCTCCCCCCCCGGCGGCGCCTCCAGCGCGCCCCTGGCGCGCCCCGCGCGCCAGGGAGGGGGTTCAAGCGCAGATCCAAGAAATCCGCGCGGAGCGCCAAAAGTTATGTTTATGGCGTTCTTTCTTCTTCGACTGAGGTCGAAACGGATGATCGCGGTGGTGCTGGACCAAGTGCCATGCATCCCATTGGAGACGAAGCTCCACGATGATGGGCCACTTTTCCACCACCACTACCATAGGTAGGGACGGGGGAGAAGGGAGGATTGAGAGGTCCTCCTCCTCCTCCTCCTCCCCCTCCTCCTCCTCCTCCTCCTCCTCCTCCTCATCATCATCCTCTTTCTCCTCCTACCTATGTTAGTGGTGGTGGAAAATCGGCCCATCACCACGAAGACGCGGTATCTCTCAGTGGCGCGCAGCAGCCTCGACCCGCCTGCCAGGTGCTTCACTCGGCGCGGCACGAGCCGCGCAGGCGTCGCGCTGGGGGCCACCTTCTCGAGCCAGCTACTCGTTGGGAGGGGAAGGAGGAGGAGGAGGAGGAGGAGGAGGAGGAGGAGGAGGA